GGTGGGTGCGAAAGGTGTGGAAAGCAATAATTATACTAAAACGAAATGTTATGGCAACTATTTATAGTACTCGTATATGGAATCTAGAAAACTAGTCAAATAATAATATAGATTTCATCAAGTATTATTATTGCTTTTACATGGTGTTTCAGAAGTTGATCATTTTAAAAGATTAATGAAATTGGAAGTTCCTAAAATTTGGGGAAGTAGCGCGTTTAAAAAATATACAAATCTAAAATTTCATTTTGAGCATGCGTAATTTTACGTCTTTCTACTAAAAAAAATTGGTATATTGAACTTTTTTTAAATAGAAATTTTTTTATTCAAATTTCTTAGTTTTTGTTTTATATGCTCTTTTAAGATTAAATTCAAGGGTTAGTCTGATTACATTGTAAATTTAAAATTCTGATTAAATTTTCTTTAAGTTTACATAAAAGGAAAACTGAAATTATAAGTATTATTTGTACAGGAGTTGATATTGGTTTTACGCAGGTCAAAAATTTTATTAGTTAACTGGCAATGAATGTGACTAAATGGTTCCCCAGTTATACCAGTAATAGTATGGTAGACGAAAAAAAAAGAAATGTGCCTAGTCTTTATAAAAGGAGCGAAATTATGAAAATTCATGCAAGTGAAGCCAAAAAGTGTATAACAAATGGCCAAACTTTAGTAAATTAAAAAAAAAGGTCAAACCGGTGTTTTTCTGTTCACTTTAATTTGTATAGAGACAAAAAAATATTTCCTGTTTTTATTTGTAGATTGATGGAGAATATGAGAATTATATTCTCTATCAACAATATCTATGTGTACTTATCAACTTCCTATTTTTTGTGATATACACTGTATAAAAATTTTACACTGTATAGACGTAACAAATACGAGTAGGTACACACAAGGCGTATAAACACTTTTATACAGGAAAAATAAATTTTATTACCATATGCCTGAAATTTATAATACCAATAAAATATTATTAATGAATTTATTAATAAATTGTAAAAATAATTTATATTTTATTTTGCTATTTGCATACGTATATTTATATCATATAGACATATAAGTACACATAAATACGAAATACGTATGTGTATAACAATTATTTATTAACAAGTAACACGCGGATTTAATTTATAAACGGAAATTATGTTCCGTTTATTTCTGGAATTTTGTTTTATTTTTTATCAAAAATAATTATTTTTATCATATAAGTATTGAATATACAAAGCCAAATTTGATTAAAATAAATCACATTAAGTTATAAATATTTAATTGAAATACTGATACGTTTATGGCTAATAAATTTTATTATATTTCATAAATAAGCTGCTAAAATGATTATAGTAATTATGCGAGTGTTTAAAGCCCTATGTACTCAATAACAAATTTACTTAGTCAAATTTTTTAAAACATTTGAATTTAAATGGATTCTCACAATATTCTCGATTAAATTTTTCAAGTTCAATCAATTCGCTAATATTACCTTTGTAACTACTTCTCAAAGCATTTGCTTGTAGTGAGTAATATCAGACTTAAACCAAGGACTTTAAAAATACAAGTAATTATGAAGTCTTTGGTTAAACTAAATGCCCGCACGCTTAAAAAATATTCATACATAAGCATATAACTAGCTATATATATTAATCAATAACTAATTCTAACTTACAAAAAATTTAAAATTTAATTTAAGAATAAAAAAATTATGAACGAAACTTAAATATTAAATACATCTTTGTTTTGTTACCTTTAAGAATATTAAATTTTTGGGGAATTTACAATTAAAATTCGTCAAGCAAAATAAAAGAAGCCAGATTTCTACTTAATTTCAATTTTAATTGAGCGTTAATTTTTTAAACAGATTAAAGTGTTTACGCCTTGATATTTTTTATAATTAGAGGAAAATGTTATCCCCATTCTTTTATAATATAAAGTGACATGAATTTAGTTTATAGAAAATATTCGTATATAACAGGAATTTTAAATTTATGTAATAAGAATTAATTGTTAATTTGAAAATAAGTAAAATTAACAAGGAAGCCAGAAGGTTAGACAGTCATATCAATCTTATGAAGGAATGATAAACTGAATAAAAATTGACCTTAAAAACATAGAGCAACTTGACATCGAAATATATATAGCTATAAAAGATCCGCACATTACTGTCATAGCTTTCAAAGAAAAGCTAGGGAATTCGCAGGTTCAGAATGACATCGAAAGTCCAATAAACACAATGATAAAACTTCCAAACATTATCCTGCCAAGATTTGACTGGGATTATACGAAATGTATACAATTTTATGATCAATTCATTCACACTGTTTACAAGCAATCTAAAACGTTGAAAATATATGCTATTAGAAAAGAAATATAAGTGGCGAGACACATCTCATAAAAATGAAATAAAAGAACTGCCCCCGCTTCCAAAACAAGATTGGGTGGACCCATTGAAAAAACAATAAGGAAGCACGTTAATTCTGACATTATTGTAGGGCTTGAATTGTGGAAGAAATTTGAACAATGTAAAGTTATTTACTTAAAACTTTTCTTCATGGTTAGTTAGAATTTCAATAGCTTCTCAATGACTCTTACTATTGGGGAATGAAACGTTTTAAAAATTTCTGATTTCCTGAACCTGACACTTTCTACATAACAAGTGATAAAATGACACTTTCTTGACTTTCTACAAATTATGACAAATTTAAACTCGTACAGGCAATGTAAGTGCGTGTACAATGTTTGTATGTAAACGTTTAAGTACAGAACAATATTTAATTTTTTTTTTACCCTTATGTCAAAAATTATGTGGAACTTTCACTTGTTTTTTTTATATATAACATGCTTGAAGCATTTTACGTAAAATATGAAAATATTTTTATCTTTAAATTTTTTGGTGGAAGTATGAGAAAAGATATAAAAAAAGAGAAAAAATAAAAAAAATGGCCAAAATAACTAACAAACAAAAGAAAAAGAAAAAAATAAATTCGTTAAGGCTTTCCTTTCTTTCAAATATTCTTTTGTATTTCCCCTGAGATATTTTGTTAAGTTGTGTTTAATAATTCCAGTCAAGATTTCTATTTTTGTATGAATAAGACCAAATAAAGTTATTTAAAATACGAAACGATTATTTTGATGCGGATCCCTTTTCAATTTAAAATAATATCTACATTATTTCCAGGAAAATTTCAAAAGAAATACCAAGAGCTTTTAAGGAATATTGATGAATACATACGTATATATTGACTATATTAATGCACAAAATTAAACCACTCAATAGTATGAAATATATCTGAGACTACAAGCAATTATATACTACTTTTGTATTATACAGGTTAAAGTTATAAACTAGGGAAATTTTAGTAATCTAAATTTAATTTCCAATCGATTTTTTTTCTCAAATATTTTACCTACTTGTTTAACTGAGTTTTTTTTCTAAAGAAATCTATGTTATAATAGGATTGAAACCAGGAAAACTCATCGCCAAATTAATTGAGTTAAAGAGAGCATTAAGGCTTGCTATAAAATTATGCAAAAATTTCAATAGAAAAAAAAACGAGAACTCATTTATGTTGTTTAGCAACCATTCACAATTTTCTTAAAAATTATAAATTGTATTGACGATTGATTGTTGAATTTAAGAATATTTTCCTCGAAGTTTGTAAGTTTTCATTTAATTTTATGATTTCTTAATATTATATATTTTTATAAGGAATTTGTTTTTGTATTATGTACGCTGATTCTTGTACTCGTAAGAAAGTGCTTTTAAATTAACTTAATTTATTGAAAAAATATGATTTCAAAGTTATTGAAACAAAAAAATTATTGTGATTTTATTGCAAAAGTTTCGTCAGTGTTATTTCTTGAAATCAAACATAGCAGACATAAAGATTATAATTTTTATTTATCATTAGATTTTTATAAAGAAGATTTTGGATTTTGACATTTTTTTTCATTTTTGAATGAACACGCATTATATGTATGAACGTATGTGTATTTTAATATTTCAGAATTTTCACATTTTGTATTTAAGAAATTTTTTATCTGTTATTTTATTAAAAAAAAAGTTTTATAATATTGAAAAGAACAAAGTTTGTACTTGGCATTAAGTAGAATTTTATTAAGAAAAATTTTTGTTCATGCCTCAATCGTATGCAATTTTCAAAATGATATATACATATATACATATAAGAGTTGTCTTATTTTTCAGTTCTAACATAAAAGTGAATGTCGCCTTTAAGCAATAATAGTAAAGTTTTTACGATTTTTATCAAAATTTTAAAAATTTGAATAATTTTAATATTAAAGTTTATAAATTTTGTTTGAAATTTGTTAATCAAATGTGAAACGGAACGAAAAGCGGTGTCTAAGAATTAATGTTTGATATTTAGTTGAGATTAACGATAACTTACTTGTATTCTCAGTTGAAATAAATTTTTCTGTAAAAAAAAGGTGTACAAAAGAGTACAAATCAAAATAATGAAATTTCGAATAAAATGAAAAAAACTAACTAAAATACAAAGTTTGAATTTTACGTAAAAATTACCCTTTAATAGGGAATTACTGCTTTTCATAATGATTTGTAAGTACATGGAATAGATAAAAATTCTTTGACCCAAAATAGAGAGTTAGCTTCAGTTTCTTTTTACTCACTTTTAACTTAAAAAAATGAGTTGTACTCCTTTGAATGTCTATAACTTTTATTTACCCTAAAATATTGCTCTAAATATGGCATAATTACAGACATAACCAGAAATCACAATGAAAACTTGTTGCTGTCGAAAATCCTACGCATACAATAAAAATGAAATTTAAAAAAAAAATTCAAAAGAAACAAAACATTTTTTCATAAAAATTTCCTAATTTAACACTTTCCTCCACAACTAAATAATTTTCTTCTCACACTTATTTAATTCGTAATGTAATAAATGGCAACCCAAAAATTAATATTTAATTCACTTAAATTTTAATTATAAAATATTTAAATTAAATTTTCTTGTTCATTTCAGATTAATGAATCGCGCAAAAATTCACTTGTCGAAGTCATTTTTTATACATTTAGAATTCGGAAATTTGGAAAATCATAAGAGAGGAATTTCCCTTCAATCATTTATATAGTTGGAAAGTGCACAAAATAAAGAAAAAAAAATTCAATCAATTTTGTTTGAAATTAAAAAAACAAAAGAAAAAAAAAGAAGACAAAATTATTTTATCCTTTTTTTTTGACTTGATTTTAATTTTTTCTTTTTATTTTATCGGCTTGGTGCTCTCTTGTTTTATATTTTGTTTTTCTATTACCATAAGGACAACATTAATTATTTGCGCTGGCGAAATTATTTAATAATTCAGTCCCTGTTATTATGGAGGGACCTGAAGTGACATTCCTTTTCCAATTTGGAAATTTAAGAGATGCGGTGACAGTGCCGTTAACAACATTAAATTTAAAATCTCTAAAGGATATGGCTTGTGAATTTATAAATACGAAGGTAAGTGAAAAAAAAAATTTAATTACGAAAAAAAATTTATTCATTGCATCTATTTGTGATAAATTGTATTTTATGCTATATATAAAATTGCTAAATATAATATTTTAAGTTGTATGACCAAAATGGTGTTCTAAAGATTATTAAAATCTTTTGGAATTTCAGTACACATACATAAGTATACTTAGAACTTCTAAGTAACATTGAGAATTCATGAGTAGTATTACTAAAATTCAGAGCAATGGAAAATCTTTTAAATTAAAATTAATTTAATTTCAAAGATTTTCTATTGTTCTAATTCAAGAAGCGGAGCAAGTTGTAGAAATTTTCTATTCTAACTCCAAACTTGACCATATTTTTTTTAATTAGACCCAAATTTAGATCCAAACTTTAAAATTTAATATGACCTTGTGGATCTAAAAATTTAAAACTGCCAAAATCATACTGCGCCTTCTCGGCTCCAACTCAGATTCCATAATTCTGAATTAGATTATCCATTTTCCTTAAAAGCAAATTCATGGAAGTACATATGTATATAAAACGAGAATGATTGGACAAATATTTTCCAACGTGTTATTTAATTTTCCTCTTATTAAATTGAAAAATTTATTTTAAGAAAAACATTGTAACGTGTAGGTGCCTTATCGGATTCTTTTTAGAATATATAACGGAACAATGTCATAAATGACAATAACATTGGAAAACTAAAATCTAAATTTTCGAATTTGTATTTTTCGCACAGGTTATTTTTAAATAGGACCCGCCTACAACAAAAGAAATTTATAAAAAAAAGTTTTATTGTATGTATCTAAAAAAATAAAGGTATGCAATCAACAATAAATCAAATTTGAGAGAATATTTTAAGAAAATGTGAGATCTTTCAGGAAAATATTTCATTGAAAAAAATATGTGAATAATATTAAATTGTTAATAAAATTTAGAAATTTACTTTTTAGGCTACACTTAGCATGTACCAAGAAAAATGGAATTTTAAAACACAATTAGAAAAAAATTTCATAAAATAAAACGATTCATAAAAATGCCTTCCACAGAATTTTGTCGCTTACGCTACAAAATTAATATTTGAGAAAACTAACGAAAGGTACCGTAGGTACCTTTTACCATGATTAGCCAAATTCCAAATTTTCAATTGAACAAACTTCTTAGCACTACTTTTCAGTGAAAACTTCCTTTTAATATTAATTTTTTTTACTTAATATCCTTGCTTTGTTTCGACATTAATAAAAAGTTAATAAAAATTTTCTTTATACAATATTTTTATTCATATTTTATTATTTGCACAGCTTTTTATAATTTATACAATAAATTTAATTAATAATCTTGTTTTGCTTTACATTAATTTTAAAGAAATTCTTAACAGGCAATAAAGGTTTATCTTTCTTTGATCTTTTCTAATTCTGGTATAGTGTTGGTATATTGTAAATATTTATGTATACTTATGTATAACTAAACTATTCGACCTCATTTTATCATTTCTATACAATTTCCTTTTATTCTTATATGTTTTCTTTTTATTAAGGCAGTTCGGAGTACAGTGGAGCACAGAACACTGCAGTGTTGTTGTTCATTTGTTGATTAAAAGCAGAAATTATAGGGACTTCTAATGAGTCTTTTGTGTTTTTTTTTTTTAATTTTTCTTCTTCTTTTGTTATTTTTTTTCATTTTTCCTAAAGATTATCTTTCTTAAAAATGTTAACATTATTTTTCTTTTCTTGCCCTCTATTTATTATTCAAAATAAAATGAGGAGAGAAGGAGATTGAAGAATATACTCGTATTTTTTATTATTCTTGCTGCTCTTGTTTTATTTTAATTTTTTTTCTTATTTTTTTTAATATTAATTTGCATAATATTTTCTATTATTATCTATAAACTTTCAAGAACAGAAGTTGAATTTTTTTTATTTTATTTTTATTTTATTTTTGTTTGTTGTTTTGTGTTTCTAACTGTAAACGAATATGTTTTGTTATATTGTCATAATAATTTTTGAATAATGTTAAAATTTAACTTGTCCAACTGTCATGAATATTTAACCTTCGCAAGAATCCGAAAATGAAGCCAATTAATTAGATAAAAGTTGGGCGGGTCGAATCTATGATACTCGCACGATATGTAATTTTTGTAGTTGTATGGTAATCAACCATACGATTGTCTCTATTACATCCAGTTCAAATAAATTTTGGAAATTTACCAAATATTAGTTTTGAGTTATTAGAAGAACACAGTTATTTCATAGACTCGAACAGTTATTTCATAGACTAGTAATTAATGTAGTGATGTTACAGGCATAAAAATAGTTTATTTTTAAATGGAAGTTCAAGGACCATAAATAGTTCTAACTTGCTCACGGTGTAATGAGAAAAAAATTTGCTTCCTTTTATAACTTTTAATTTCTTCCTTTTAAAATATTTTACTTATTTTACTATAATTTAAGTGACAAGCGGAAATTTTTGAAAGGTTTACTGTTATAAAATTGTGTATTCTATCAGTCATATAAATGTTCATTTGCTGATGTTCATCTCATTTTAGCTAGAATACACTAGAATGTTTTTTTTCCTTATTTAAAAAATTAACATTCAACAAGTAGTATTAAAAGTTTTTGACAGTTTAGTTTGCGCTAAAATTTTTCAATCTTAAATTTTGTTTTGTTTTATATAAAAAATTATTTAAAAAAAAACAAAAAATATTTTCAGTACTAAAATATATTAGAAAAAATAAACAAAATTTTAAATTCATTTATATGCTCATTTATCTAAAAAAAAAGTTTGCGATATAGCAGCACCCGAAATGAAAAACAATACGGCACTCCTTAATTAGCATAACATTCGAACTTAATAAACAACAAAAATATAAGCCTCATTCCGTTTTAAAAATTTGAGCTTAGTAAAAGGGTAAAAAGCATATTATTTTTCCTTTACTTTCCGTGAAAATAAAGGGAAATAGAAAAAAACGTTCTTGCATACCACTTTTTTTTCTTGCCGAACATTTGGTTTCTCCGTATAATTGAAAAATAAAATCAAGGAAAAATTTTTCCGAAAGAAAATAATTTATTCATAATATCAAGGTTAAGATTTCAAAATATAAAACTAAATGTATAAAATTTACATTGAATTAGGAACAACCGAAATCGATCATTCTTTCATACTAAATTTCGGTTAAATCATAAAAATAATTTTAAAGGTTTCAAGCAACTTCGAGAAAATTACAAAATTCAAATTTCCATCTTCAAAAATATTTATGTACCCGTATTTGAATTGGTTAGAATCTTTTTGTAATTTCGGCAACTCCTATAATACACGACCATATTTTGAAAAGTACTTATTCATATTTTATTCATTTAAAAACAAAAACTACTTGAGTACACTTTTAGTTTTATTAAAAATTTTAGTCCAGAATCATTGTCATATTGAAAATTATGTCAAGAAAAGTAAATAAGTTTTAAACTAAAAAAAAATTTGAATTGAAGGTTATTCCTTCTCGTTTTATTTATTGTAAAAGCATATAAGTGGAAAATAGCACGCTGATAATTGTGATTGTCGTCATTGAACTTGAACTATTTTATAAATACATGCAAGTTTTTAAGGAGTTCAATGAGAAAATAATAAAGAAATTTAATAAAATGAAAATAGAATTACAATAGTAAAAAATTTTAATAATATCGATTTTATATTTTTACCTTAAACTTGTATTTTTATTGCTATTAGTATAGGTCTCAGTATCGATAAACTGGTATAATTCCTATGACACCAAACATATTATTGTTCGTGAATTATTATCACCCACTTTAGTATTATTAAAATCTTTAGCATACATATGTACATGCATGCATATGTTGTTTAGGTAAAATGTTGATAAATAATTGCCCACCTCAAATTCTTGCGTGTTTGCTTTACGGTTATTTTTATTTTTTTTTTACATTATACAAACAAACATGCTTATACTTTTTACTTATATAACTCGCAATAATTTTTATACACGTCTTGAGAGTTACTTTTATTAGAAAGATAAACAATTTTTATATGCATAAAACTTTTTTGTTTTGTATGAAAAGTTTATTTTATTCGGATTCCTTTTTTTCGGTTTAATAGGTATACGTATAAGGAAACTCATTTTTTTTATATAAAACAACAAAAACTTTCTAAGGATATTAAAAGGTATTTTAAAATATAGAGTGTTTAATTAGAGTCCAATAGTAGTTGTTTCTGTTAATAGCATAAGAGCAAATTATCATTTTTGGTAAAGGTATAGTGAAAACATTCGTATTAACGGGTGAAAACATATAACAGAGCCAGGGCAATAAGACTACGATGTCAAGAATTGAATTACTTATTACTATTTCTACAGCAGCCATCTTATTAGCATTTCAAATTAAATTCTACAGGGCTATGCAACAAAAATTGTAGTTGTTTAATTAATAATTAAGGGTAATAATTCATTATACAACTACAATATTGTTTACAGTTCATTATAACATGAAATATTATTAATATTTCAAAATTAAGGAACTAAAGTATTAAAAGAAATGTTTCTTTATTTTAATTAGAAAAATGGCAAAACACATTTTTAATAAAATTTTATTGTGGCAATGTTTATAATAATAATTGGATCGTACATTCTAATGAATCGATCTCGCATATGAATTGACTATTTAAGTCATCTAATTTCCTCATTTAATTAGCAGTAAAACTGCTATTAGTAATGAGCGAACCTTTTTTTAAAATATCGGATAAATGGAAACGGATATTATTCTAAAATTAAAGGCAATACTTAAAAATAATTATGAAAGATCAAATGTAATACAATAAGCAAGCGAAAGTATAAATTTTTCTATGAATTTTACTAGAAAGTTATTCAGAAAATTTTATTAACTATGCTCTTCATGTCTTATGATGTGTAAAATGACACGTCAAATCAAATTTTTTTTGTTTCAGTCATAAATACCAGCAATTCGGATTTTTAATATCAAACTGAAATTAAATCAAAT